TAGTACCGTATTCCCAAGGAGAATTTGTATTTCCTTCTGGATGCTGCCCCAAGAACGAACGCAGCTCATTGAGGTAGTGCCTTGTCTGGATGAACCCTCAGTCAGCACACCCATTTCTCCACCATCAAAAAGATAGTGAGTTTTTTCACTGCACTCCTAGCAGGTCTCTTGTGCTAGAAAATTCCTTTAATGTCTCATCAGGATACTCTCTAAATCCTTTGAAACGTGATGCAAAATCAAGGCTCTAGTCCTATTAACCCCTTGTTCTTTCTCCTGTTCCCTTTCACACTTTAAACTCGTGAGTAACCCCCAGTCACAGTTTTAAGTCATACTCCAGATAATCTTTCACGTGGCCTTTCCAGCTGCAACGAATTTCCCAGCTCTTAGGACATGGACGAGAGGTAGGACTTGAGAGATGAAATTGCATGACAGGTAACGGGCACAGTGAACTTTAGATCTGTGAGATGTGTGCAATATTAGTTCATTCTGTAGCTGAATGTGAACGCTATTGATATTTAATATCTTACCAGGAGGGATGAGTATTTGAAGGACAAGCATTCATAATTTGCTTTGACATTTGACATGATCAAGCAAGTAAAGGAATAATATTCCGTTTCTCCATTGTCAAAAAGATAATGAGTTTCATAACCATTGGTATTATGGGAAAAATACAGCCAATGTAGTGTAAAATGTGTGAGAGCTGCTATATATTCTTCTATAAATTGTGTATATCACGTTCTTTTCATGGCCCTATTCAAACACAGCATGCCTACCTTTTTAATTTTCTGGTTTGCTGTGCAAGTCTCTAGCCAAAGAGACTTTTTTTTTAAATGAAAAAAGTTTTCTTCAAATCATTTATAGAAAGAGCACTGCTGTCATCGAGTCTGTCTCATCATATCATTCTTAGGTATCAATTTCTAGGCTCAGATGACAAACCATAGCAGCTACTTTTCCAATAGCAGCATCTGGCTTCCTGGCAAACTCGAAATGCAGTTATCTGGAAAGCTTCAGAGTTGTTTCTGAGCACATTTTATTTATTAGAAAGCAGTTGTGTTGCTCTGCTTCCCATGACTAAGCCAAAGAATATTTAATATATTAAAAGGAATAATAGAATCGAGGCCAAACTGTTGTCCCTCAAGTGGCAAGAGAATGACAATATTTTTCCTTTAAGATAACCGTTTCTTCAGCTCTGAAGGACAACTTGAAACTATTCATGCTGACCTCAGATGATCCTTTATAGGACTAAAAGAGAAATTCAGCCTTATAACTCCACAAACAAAATTCAACTTCACCTTTTTCTAGACTCAACTCTCTGAAATGTGATGGTGACTCCTCTGCCAACCTTCCCTTGCTGGAGGAAGCAGACCCTCCACACAGAGTGGGGTCCTCGGAGGTGGAAGACTCTACGTCCTTGCAATATACGATGAATGATAATAGAAGGAATAGGTGAGGTCCTGTACCAGCCCTCAGAAGAAGTGAATTCAGCCCTTGTTTTGCCACAGAACTTACGAGCTTGGCAAGTCATTTGGATCCAGCTCGGCAAAGGTCTCCTGATGCAGTTTGGTAGGTATCAAGCTAATCTGCAAGAGTTGATCCAAGGTATATGAAAATACAGTTCAATGAACTACTTTAATATTACTCCTTCTTAAACATACCTGTGATATAACTGATACCTTCTGCCACGTCCCATACTCTTGCAAGGTTCTTTGCTCGGGCTGGAGATCTTTGCACTTGTGAAGCTCTGCCTCTAGCCTGGTGAGTGGAATCGAATCCTACCACTGCCCTGTGTATAAAAGGAGATTATCTGACACCGTGCAAAATGTATGAAACATTTCTTCAGTTCTTCATACATAGCATAATCTGAAGGAAATAATTAAGGATTATTTTTTCCCAATACCAGCATTGAATTAGATAGGGAAGATATCAAGACCCACAGGAGATGACAACAGTCAATTCTATAGATGTCCTTATAGCTTTAGGACATTCCTAGATGCTAAAATTCATTCTCACATGGATAGAGCTAAAAGCTGAGAAAGGACAAGGGAGGATGAAATATCTGTTCCAGGCTTTGATGACGGTTAGACTGTATCTACGTCAAAGGCTCTGTTTAATTGAAGTGATTATTTTCATTCTGAGAAGGAGCTCTCTTGAGTTTTTCTTGAGCAATTTCCAAAAGTTTCTTTTAGTGAAATTCTAGTGTTATTTTTCTAGATGATAGATTTAAAAAAAAAAAAAAAAAAGCCTAATCTATTAAAGTCAATGTGTTTGACACTTAGCAGCAGAAGTGGTAATGTTAAATGGTGACATCTTGCAGTTTTCTTCTGATACCAGTGGTGCCTCTGGGGCAGGATTTTATTAGTGACAGCTCTCACTGAATTCAGTTAAAGCCAAAGTTTCATCTCCAAAGTAACTGTTACTCAGTTCAGAAATGAAATGATCAGGCACGGGATTTCATTTGAAGCTTTGAACAGCAACATCAAGGAATCAAAACAATTCTGTTTCAGGTTTCTGCTTCTCCAGTGTAAAAAATATTTCTGGGTTTGGACACTCGCCCTTGCACGGTGTCATCTGGGGTGGGGGGCTAAATTACAGGCAAAAGCTGTGGGGCTTTCTCTTCTCCTTGCCGTAAGCTTCTGTCTCAGGTCTGAGCTTGGAACAATTGGGTCTTAATTCTGATTGAGGACAGAGGATGCTACTGCAGTGCAAAACACCCTGCCAAGGCTGCTTTACTGCTACATTCAATGGCAGTATTATAAGGCTGTATCATAAGCAAAGTCTGCAAATCAAAGGTTACGTGATGGGCAACCTTTACTACATACAGTGGGTCAGATAGCTTTCGCATTTAAGAAAAGACTACATGCCTTTTTGCTATTGAAGAGCGTAAGCACTTTTGCCTTCCTTCCGCCACAAATGGAGATTATTCAATGGTTGGATTTAATGAATTCAAAATCCTTAGAAAATCACTAGAGCCAGACATCAATGTAAAATACTCCACCAGCTTTCAGTAGTGGAATATAATATTAGCTCTCCCACAATCTACTTCATGCATTTCAAAAGAATAGAGAACATTTTTAAACTAAAGAAGATAGCTTGGGCAGAAAATGATTGTCTGCCTTGGATGCTTCTCTGTAACCCTTTAGGAGCCTGAGTTATTTCTCACAGGCCAGTAGAAACAGACACAGACGTTTTCTTTGCAAAAATGCGGGGGGGGGGGGCGAGAAAGAGGAGCAAGAGATTTTCATTAATAAATACTGTTAATGTGCTGTTACCTTGCACAAGCAAGAGGGCTACATGGGAGGCTTGCCCCAGGGCTGGTGGCTCTGAGCCCATGGAAGACCCTGCAGTTGGGTGTCCCCTTTTCTGCTGGCGGAGGCTGCTGAGAACCCACCAGACCAACTGCCATTCATCCCATTTCTTGTTGCACGTCTGGACTGGGAGCACTTGAGGAGGATAATTCTCTGCCGAGTGGGATCCCTGCCCCAGTTACGGCCCACCCAGCCCTTCCCCTGCTCCTTGCTGTGGAGAGCCAGCCATGAGCAGCTCTCTTAGGCAATACAGTAATACAAATAAATAATATTAATTAAGGCTCAATAGGTTTAAAAAGCTATGGAAATAGCTGCTCTCCTGCTGTTTCAGTATCTCATTTTCCCACTCTGTCCAAACCCCCAAAGCCCAGAGGTACAAACATATATTTTAAATGAGAAGTTTGTTGAACCTCATTAAACTTAAATGCTCGATCCAGTTTTGCTGAACGAGGCTTGGCTTTGCTTTTGAGTTTACCTGACTTCATTCTTCCATCCCTAATGGAGACAGTCATTTAGAAGGTGATTTTGCAAAGGCACTGATAGACCTACAAACTACCGCTGAAAAGAAAAGCATAATTTACATGCTTAAACCCAGTATCTAACTTTGGAGCTCTTCTCTGCTCGTAGGCTTCACGTCTGAGCAATTTGCCGAGGTCTCTGTGAAATAAAGACCAGCTTTTAATTTGTATTTGCTTTTTTGCTTTCCCAGTTTTTATGAAAAGGACGAGCAGCTGAAAAGCATCTCTGCGTTGGTATGCTGAGCGGTGGAGTCACACAAGCACCTGCAGCCATCCACGCACTGCTCGGGAAGAGCGCTGTATTTCTCGAGGTTTGTAGCTCTTGTCCTCCCACTCCCTAATTCATATACATAAAACTGGTGTGCTGCCACGTTCCCTCCACACAAATGCATTAGCTGATCAGGAAGGCTTCCCATTCATCTGGCTTGTCACTTGGATGAGGTGGAGGCAGGACCCACTTGTCAACTCGCGGCGATGAGAGTCAGGGCTGGAAGGCAGGATAACACGATAAAAAAACGGCGGAGATATTTCTCCCCTTGGTTTTCCAAAGGAAAATATTTTCGGGTGCTGGATTCTCTCCATCCCCTTCCAAACGGGAGCAAACCAGCAACCCAAATACTTGCCTACAACCTCCTTGCGTAACTGGTGGCGGAGGGAGGCTGCGGGAGGAAACCATGGCTAAACCCCCGCTTTCGCGGTAGCTCCCCGGCGACGCGGGCACCCTCGTTGGGACCGCGACGCTTCGTCCCCACCGTGTTTGACACCGTCCCCGCTGCGTTCGACGCCGTTTCTGCCGTGATTCCCAGGGCGTGACCCAACCCGAGCAACGAAGGCGACGGAGCTTCGCACCTGATGGGTGGCCAACCCCTCCCCGAGCTCCAGGTGGATTTTAACCGGCCTTTGTCCATCTGCGAGCTCCAGGGCCGGACTCCCCCCCCCCAC